CGTCAGCAAAAACCTAGATTTTTATGTCGGCAATTTTTTTCAAGTGACAAATTTCAATGGGGAATGACGGTTTTTTTTTTTAAATAAATTTTATGGTAGTAGATCAATCATAGATATTGTAAGGGATTTTTTCCCTGTATTTTATTATTATTTTGCGCACTAAAATAAGTTCTTAATGACTGGATATTAAAATAATGTGTTTAATTTAAAAAACAAAATTGTTTTCATTTAAATCTTTATTGAAAGTATGTGTTAAAATAAATTATATTAAAATAAGGGGACGTTGTCTCATAAACAGAAATGATACGAAAATGTTCTACAAATAGCAAATAAATTAAATTTTGTTCAATTATTTCTTGATTTTAAACGTTAAATAATAACTTTATACATAAAAATATACTTCCCCACAAATATAAATTTTTGGGAATTTTAAAAATTTATTTGGGAATTCTGAAATTCATTCCAAATTTAAATTTTTCACCTAATATAATGATTTTAAACTTGAAATATTAAATGTATACATAAAAATAGACATCCCCACAAAATTTAATTTTTGGGAATTTTCAAAATTTATTCGGGAATTCTCAAATTCATTCAAAATTAAAATTTTTCACCTAATAGATTGATTTCAAATGTTAAATATTAACTTCACACATAAAAATAGACTTCCCCACAAAATTTCATTTTTGGGAATTTTCAAAATTTTTTGGGAATTCTCAAATTCATTCCAAATTAACATTTTTCACTTAATAGATTTATTTCAAACGCAAAATATTAATTTTACACATAAAAATAGACTTCCCCACAAAATTTAATTTTTGGAAATTTTCAAACTATATTTGGGAATTCACAAATTCATTCCAAATCAAAATGTTTCACCTAATAGATTGATTTTAAACGTTAAATATTAATTTTATACATTAATATAGACTTCCCCACAAAATTTAATTTTTTGGGGTTTTCAAAATTTATTTGGTAATTCATAAATTCATTCCAAATTAACATTTTTCATCTATGTTATTGATTTTAATAGTTTAATATTAATTTTACACATAAAAATAGACTTCCCCACAAAAATCACTTTTTGGGGATTTTGAAAAACTCATTTGGGAAATCCCAAATTCATTCCAAATTAACAATTTTCACCTAATAGATTGATTTTAAACATTAAATATTAATTTTGCACATAAAAATAGATTTCCCATAAAATTTCATTTTCGGGAATTTTCAAACTATATTTGGGAATTCTTAAATGCATTCCAAATTAACATCTTTCACCTAATAGATTGATTTCAAATGTTAAATATTAGTTTTACACATAAGTAAAGACTTCCCCACAAAATTTAATTTTTGGGAATTTCCAAAATTCATTTGGGAGTTCTCAAATTCATATCAAATTAATATTTTTCATCTATATTATTGATTTTAATAATTAAATATTAACTTCACACATAAAAATAGACTTCCCCACAAAATTTCATTTTTGGGAATTTTCAAAATTTGTTTGGGAATTCTCAAATTCATTCCAAATTAACATTTTTCACCTAATAGATTCATTTCAAACGCAAAATATTAATTTTACACATAAAAATAGACTTCCCCACAAAAATCACTTTTTGGGGATTTTGAAAAACTCATTTGGGAATTCCCAAATTAACAATTTTCACCTAATAGATTGATTTTAAACATTAAATATTAATTTTGCACATAAAAATAGATTTCCCCATAAAATTTCATTTTTGGGAATTTTCAAACTATATTTGGGAATTCTTAAATGCATTCCAAATTAACATCTTTCACCTAATAGATTGATTTTAAACGTTAAATATTAGTTTTACACACAACTAAAGACTTCCCCACAAAATTTAATTTTTGGGAATTTCCAAAATTCATTTGGAGTTCTCAAATTCATATCAAATTAATATTTTTCATCTATATTATTGATTTTAATAATTAAATATTAACTTCACACATAAAAATAAACTTCCCCATTTAATTTCATTTTTGGGAATTTTCAAAATTTATTTGGGAATTCTCAAATTCCTACCAAATTAATATTTTTCATTTATTTTATTAATTTCAAACATTAAATATAAATTTTCTTCATAAAAATAGACTTCCCCACAAAGGATTCCTTCCCTTGTTTAACATGTTTTTAACTGACTCACTAATGTCGTCTTAATATATCTTATTAAATCGCGTCTAAAATATTCATGTGTAATTGTTAAATTACTTTACTATGTAATTTAAATTGAAACGAAATGATTCCAGATTTTAAACAATAACAAAAACAACAACACAAATGACTATTTAAAAAACACAAAAAATACGTGACCTTAGAATCATTATTTTAAATATTTTATAATGTTAAAAACTCAAATAACACCAAAATACATTAATGTACAAATACAAATTAAATTGAAAGGAAAAAATGATGATTGATTAACGTGTTAAAGGAGCATGACTCGTCGTCGGCAGGTGAATATTTTGTGGTAAGAAAAATTCAAACTGCGAAATAGAGTTAATTTGTAAAAAAAAACTAATTTGACAAAATATGTAAATTGAATGACATTCAAAAATTGAAGATTGAAATCGGACAATAACTTTTTGGATTAGCACACAGAATAGTTAAATTAGAAAAGTTTTACAATACTTCCGGTATCATTTTCATGTTCGAATTTTTGAAACTTTTCGAAATTCAAAATTTAGCTTAAAAAACTTGTTTCAAACTTTTAATGTATTATTGAAAAATAAATTAATCTTTTTAACCACTTTAGTGAATGTTCGGGGGAAAATTCGAATAACTTAGATTTCGAAATTGTATTTAAAGAAACTAACTAACTACTAACTAACTAACTAACTTAACTAACTAACTAACTAACTAACTAACTAACTAACTAACTAACTAACTAACTAACTACACTAAATAACTAACCTAACTAACTAACTAACTAACTAACTAACTAACTAACTAACTAACTATAACTAACTAACTAACTACTAACTAACTAAGCCTAACTAACTAAAACTAACTAACTAACGAACTAACGAACTAAACTAAACTACAACTAACTAACTAACTAACGAACCTACTAACTAACAACTAACTAACTAAACTAACTAACGAACTAACTAACTAACTAACTAACTAACGAATACTAACCTAACTAACTAACTAACTAACTAACTAACTAACTAACAACTAACTAACTTAACTAACTAACGAACTAACTAACTAACTAACTAACTAACTAACTAACTAACTAACTAACTAACTAACTAACTAACTAACTAACTAACTAACTAACTAACTAACTAACTAACTAACTACTAACTAACTAACTAACTAACTAACTAACTAACTAACTAACTAACTAACTAACTAACTAACTAACTAACTAACTAACTAACTAACTACTAACTAACTAACTAACTAACTAACTAACTAACTAACTAACTAACTAACTAACTAACTAACTAACTAACTAACTAACTAACTAACTAACTAACTAACTAACTAACTAACTAACTAACTAACTAACTAACTAACTAACTAACTAACTACTAACTAACTAACTAACTAACTAACTAACTACTACTAACTAACTAACTAACTAACTAACTAACTAACTAACTAACTAACTAACTAACTAACTAACTAACTAACTAACTAACTAACTAACTAACTAACTAACTAACTAACTAACTAACTAACTAACTAACTAACTAACTAACTAACTAACTAACTAACTAACTAACTAACTACTACTAACTAACTAACTAACTAACTAACTAACTAACTAACTAACTAACTAACTAACTAACTAACTAACTAACTAACTAACTAACTAACTACTAACTAACTAACTAACTAACTAACTAACTAACTAACTAACTAACTAACTAACTAACTAACTAACTAACTAACTAACTAACTAACTAACTAACTAACTAACTAACTAACTAACTAACTAACTAACTAACTAACTAACTAACTAACTAACTAACTAACTACTAACTAACTAACTAACTAACTAACTAACTAACTAACTAACTAACTAACTAACTAACTAACTAACTAACTAACTAACTAACTAACTAACTAACTAACTAACTAACTAACTAACTAACTAACTAACTAACTAACTAACTAACTAACTAACTAACTAACTAACTAACTAACTAACTAACTAACTAACTAACTAACTAACTAACTAACTAACTAACTAACTAACTAACTAACTAACTAACTAACTAACTAACTAACTAACTAACTAGCTAAGCCGTTAATTGTGAAGTTCGAAAACTCGAAGTTAATTTCGAACAAATTTTTCATAAATTTATTTAAAAAGTGTTAATTTTGTGGTTTCCTATAGGAAAATCCTATATAAAGCCATTTTTGTTAATGTTCGAAAATTCGAAGTTAATTTCGAATTTACATTTTTGCCCTAAAATCCACTTTTATTACATACTTAACTCAAGTTTATTAAAATAAAGTTAAAATTCTTTGTTATTACTGCGTTTTTAATGTACGAAAATATTCAAATTTAAAATTTTTTAAATTTCTTTTTTTCCAAAAATTTTTATTTATATTGATTTTAAAAATTATTTTCTTTTTTAAAATTGCGAAATCTTTTTTTTTTTGGGTTTTATGGACAGTTTTCCAATATCTTTTTGTAGAGTCTGTTTTGCCAGTTAATTGCATTTGTCAATAATTACAACTCTGTGTATACATATTAACAAAACTCAATAATGATCATTATCATGTTTATCTTCGTTATTATTTCTTAATAAAATGATATTTGTGGTTGTTGCTTTCTGTTGTTTTTGGGAGAAATAAAATTAACAAAAATTTCTCACACATTTTTTTTTGATTTTGAAAATAAAAGAGTGTTAAAAATACTCATAGTTAATTGTTGTTGTTTTTGTTGTTTTCTTTAGGAGGTATTTTTTTTTTAGGCGAACAAAGCTGGGCTTTGTTAGTAAAATTATAAAAAACTAACAGTTGCAACTGTTCCCACTACTAGTTGGATATTAAAGCTTAAAGTGAACGAACGGTTTTTTCGAAACGTAACGGATAAACGATTTTTATATAGAAAAAGAGAAAAAAAAAAAAATTAAAAAAAAATTGTTTGTTTATAATCAAAAATAAAGGTGTGTTTGATAAGAAAAAATTTGGAAAAAATTTTAAAAATTTGTTAAGGATTTGTTTGATTTTGAAATTTTTTAAAAGAAAAAATATTCACAAAAAAATGAAAGAAAAACAAAAAATTATGCAATATTTTGTTGTTGTAAGCTGTAGCGAAAAAAAAAACAAGTTTTATTAAAAATAAAACCAAAAGTTTAAACAAAAAAAATTTAACCTAAATTTTGTAATTAAAAAAAAAACAAAAGAGTGGAGGGTTAAAAAATTATAAATAACTTAAAATAAATATTTTTAAAAAACTACTTTTTTTTAATAAAAATTCCTTTTCAAAAAAAGCAAAAAACAAAAATTTTATTTTAAAATAAAAGTGTTTTTTTTTTGTCTTTCTCCCATTCACCACATAATTCTCATACCAAAAACCAACAAAATCCAATAAATAAAAACAACAACAATAACATTAACAGGTTTTTTTGAAAATTGTTGCTTTTTTGAAAAAAAAAAAATATTCATCATACATTTTAAAAATCAAAACAAAAACAAACTCGTTTAAAAAATAAATAAAAAAACACATCAAGCCCAACTTAACTGTGTACAAAAACCAACTACAACAACAGTAATTAAACATGTATGAAACAATAATAACAACAACTACTACATATCACTAAAAATGTAAATAAAAAAAAAAAACAACAACTCCTCAGAATTCAACTCGTTTTTATTTTTTGCTTTTTTTTTATTACCAATCAAACGTACGAGCCTCCTTCGCCAATTTTTATAATAATCGTGTACGAACAAACAACAACAGCAACTACATTTAAACAACACCTGCATAATAGAATAATAATAATAACAACAACAACCATAACTAAATTACTATTACATCAATCTAACTATCAAAAGCAGAGCTGCCAGATTTGATGAATTTTCAAAATAGCTTTTCTATAAGAAAATTTTCTAAAGAATCTTTTCTTAAAGAAAAATTTCTTAAGAAACTTTCTAGAAGAAAACTTTTTAAAAAAAACTTTTTAAAAAAAACTTTTTATAAGAAAACTTTTTAAAAAAAAACTTTCTAGAAGAAAACTTTCCAAAGAAACTTTTCTAGAAGAAAACTTTCTAAAGAAACTTTTCTAAAAGAAAAATTTCTAAAGAAATTTTTTACAAGAAAACTTTTAAAGAAACTTTTCTATAAGAAAACTTTTAAAAGAAACTTTTCTAGAAGAAAACTGTTAAAAGAAACTTTTCTAGAAGAAAATTTAGTTAGTTTAGTTAGTTAGTTAGTTAGTTAGTTAGTTAGTTAGTTAGTTAGTTAGTTAGTTGTTAGTTAGTTAGTTAGTTAGTTAGTTAGTTAGTTAGTTAGTTAGTTAGTTAGTTAGTTAGTTAGTTAGTTAGTTAGTTAGTTTAGTTATTTGTGTTAGTTAGTTATTGTTAGTTAGTTAGTTGTTCGTTCGTTCGTTAGTTATTTTTTTGTTAGTTAGTTAGTTCGTTCGTTCGTTCGTTCGTTAGTTCGTTAGTTTTCGTTCGTTTAGTTCGTTCTTTCGTTCGTTCGTTCGTTCGTTCGTTCGTTCGTTCGTTCTTTACTTCGTTCGTTCGTTCGTTCGTTCGTTCGTTCGTTCGTTCGTTCGTTCGTTCGTTCGTTCGTTCGTTTCGTTCGTTAGTTTTCGTTCGTTCGTTGTTCTTTTCGTCGTTAGTTCGTTAGTTCGTTCTTCGTTCGTTCGTTCGTTCGTTTCGTTCTTTCGTTCGTTCGTTCGTTCGTTCGTTTCGTTTCGTTCGTTTTTTTTTTTTTTTTCGTTCGTTCGTTCGTTCGTTAGTTCGTTCGTCTTCTTCGTTCGTTCTTTCGTTCGTTAGTTCGTTAGTTCGTTCGTTCGTTTAGTTCGTTCGTTTAGTTATTCGTTCGTTCGTTCGTTCGTTAGTTTCGTTCGTTCGTTCGTTGTTCGTTCGTTAGTTGTTTTGTTCGTTGTTCGTTCGTTCGTTCGTTAGTTCGTTTTTCGTTCGTTCGTTCGTTCGTTCGTTCGTTCGTTCGTTCGTTCGTTTTCGTTCCGTTCGTTTCGTTCGTTCGTTCGTTCGTTCGTTCGTTCGTTCGTTCGTTTCGTTCGTTCGTTCGTTCGTTCGTTCGTTCGTTCGTTCTTCGTTCGTTCGTTCGTTCGTTCGTTCGTTCGTTGTTCGTTCGTTCGTTTCGGTTCGTTCGTTCGTTCGTTCGTTCGTTCTTCGTTCGTTCGTTCGTTCGTTCGTTCGTTCGTTCTTTCGTTGTTCGTTCGTTCGTTCGTTCGTTCGTCGTTCGTTCGTTCGTTTCGTTCGTTCGTTCGTTCGTTCGTCGTTCGTTCGTTCGTTCGTTCGTCGTTCGTTCGTTCTTCGTCGTTCGTTCGTTAGTTCGTTCGTTCGTTCGTTCGTTCGTTCGTTCGTTCGTTTCGTTCGTTCGTTCGTTTCGTTTCGTTCGTTCGTGGTTCGTTCGTTCGTTCGTTCGTTCGTTCGTTCGTTCGTTCGTTCGTTCGTTCGTTCGTTCGTTCGTTCGTTCGTTCGTTCGTTCGTTCGTTCGTTCGTTCGTTCGTTCGTTCGTTCGTTCGTTCGTTCGTTCGTTCGTTCGTTTCGTTCGTTCGTTCGTTACTTCGTTCGTTCGTTCGTTCGTTCGTGTCGTTTCGTTCGTTCGTTCGTTTCGTTCGTTCGTTCGTTCGTTCGTTCGTTCGTTCGTTCGTTCGTTTCGTTCGTTCTTTCTTTCTTTCGTTCTTTCGTTCGTTCGTTCTTCGTTCGTTTCGTTAGTTCGTTCGTTCGTTCGTTTCGTTCTTCGTTCGTTCGTTTCGTTCGTTCTTCGTTCGTTCGTTCGTTCGTTCGTTCGTTCGTTCGTTCGTTCTTCGTTCGTTCGTTCGTTCGTTCGTTTCGTTCGTTCGTTCGTTCGTTCGTTCGTTCGTTCGTTTCGTTCGTTCGTTCGTTCGTTCTTCGTTCGTTTTCGTTCGTTCGTTCGTTCGTTCGTTCGTTCGTTCGTTCGTTCGTTCGTTCGTTCGTTCGTTCGTTCGTTCGTTCGTTCGTTCGTTCTTTCGTTCGTTCGTTCGTTCGTTCGTTCGTTCGTTCGTTCGTTCTTCGTTCTTCGTCGTTCCGTTCGTTCGTTCTTCGTTTTCTCCCCTTCTGCTTCTCTGCCCTTTTTTCCTCTCCTCTGGCCGCCCTGTTTTTCCCCTTCCCTGTTTCCTTGATTTCGTGACTTTTCAGTGTTCACGTTCCTCTCTCTCTCCCTCTCCTACTATTGCTGTTCGACATACTCCCCTGTTTTATTGCCTTAATACAGTGCGGGGGGTTCTGTGATTGAAGTGTGTGTGTGTCTGAAGTATTTCTATCTAACTTTCGTGTGTGTGATTGTTTTATTAAAAGCCGCCAAAATTGGTCGTCTTACGAAAACTTCATTTGTTTTAAGTGACCTCAGGGTAAGTTATAAAATAAATTTAGATTTAAAACATTTTATTTTATAAAATTTTTATTCGATTTGAAAGTTTGTTCAAGGATTTGAATAAAAAACTTGAAATAAATTAGAGAAACAATAACAAATATATAGAGCAATGATAGAAAAAAAAACACCTTCTAAAAAGTCTATAGGAAATGTTGGGGTACAAATACCCTTCACGAAAGACATTTAAAGGTCTTAGGCAGAAACTTGAAAAAAAACTTGTCAAAAATATGTTAATTCGTTATGTCAATTATTTGACAATATTTTACATTAGAACTATATATGTACATATGTCTACTCCAGACTATAGCCTAGACAATAGACTACACTGCAGTGCAAACTATTTACTAGACTATAGAGGACTAGACAATAGACTGTAGTACAGACTAGAAACATCAGTCCAGATTTTAGAATGGACTAGACTATAATCCAGAATATAGAGTATACTACAGTCCAGACTATATAACAGAGTATAGTTCAAACTATGGAATAGTCTATAGTTCTGACTATAGAACTATAGACTAGTTCAGATTATAGAATAGTCTATAGTTCAGACTATGGTCATGATTATAAAGTAGACTACGGTCCACAATATAAGATAGACTGTAGAACAGACTGTAATTCAATATTATAGAACAGACTATAGTCCAGAAGATACTGTAATCCATATTATAGAGCAAATTATATATAATCCAGACTATAGAGCAAACCAAAGTCTAGACTATAGAGTATACTATAGTTCAAACTATAGAGTATACTATTGTTCAGATTACAGTCCGGATTATAGACGACGGCCCAGATTATAGAGTAGAATAAAGTTTAGACTGTAGACTAGACTAAAGTTCAGACTATAGACTAAACTATAGTCCAGGCTATAGACTAGACTATAGTCCAGACTATAGACTGAACAGACTATAGACTAGACTATAGTCCAGATTATAAACTAGACTATAGCCCAGACTATTGACCAGATTATAGACTAGGCTATAGTCCACACTATAGACTAGACTATAGTCCAGACAATAGACTTCACTGTACTACAGTCCAGACTATAGTCTGGACTATGTTCTAGTCGAACGACTAGTCTATTGTCTGGCCTATAGTCTAGTCTATTGTCTGGACTATAGTCTATTGTCTAGTCTATTATTCTAGTCTATAGTTTGGGCAATAGAGCGGACTACATACCAGACTATAGAGCTGAATAGGGTCCAAACTATAGAGAATATTATAGACTAAACTATAGTGTAGACAATAGACTAGAATATAGGCCAGACTATATACTATAGACTAGACTATTGTCTGTCCTATACTATATACTATAGACTAGACTATGGTCTGTCCTATATTGTAGTATATTGTCTGGACTATAGTCTACTCTATAGTGTGGACTATATTCTGTTGTATAGTCAGGTCTGTAGACTGATTTATAGACCAATATGAACCAGACTACCAATTTGGAAATTTTCCAGAGAAGGGAAAATACCAATCTTAAGAAATTCCTTTTTTACATGTTTATGAAAGTAAAATGACTAATTGTCTTTTGAAATCTATAACCATTTGGGGAATTTCTAACTTCCGCTTCAGATCGATTTCATTTAATTTTATGCCAATTGAACAATAATCTTGTTTTAGCTATTATAAGTCAGTCTTTCGCTATTTTTTTTTTCGAATAATTTAATAATTTATGGCGATTTTTTTTGTATTTCTAACTCATGATTATTATTATTAATGCCTGTCAAGTGTCAAATGTAAGTAGAAGTTTAATTAATTGTATATGTTTTAAAAAAGAGGGTAATATATCAAGTTTTTTTTGTTATTTGGGGAATAAATATTATTTTCAAAATATTGTTTAGTTTTAAAGAATAATTATATTAATTAGTGACAAGTCTTTGGTTTATTAAAATTATAATTTGTTGCAGTTTCAGGGTAAATGTTACAAAGTTTTTATTTAATTGTGGTAAAAAGTTTTTATTGTAAGCAAAACAATTGTTTTCTTAACCATGAAAAATCTGAAAAAAGCTAAATTTGAGAAGTTGCTTTGAAAAAAAGTGTGGTTAACTTGAAAGAATTTCGTTTTAATTTTAAGACTTTGAGTATTTTATATAAATTATAGGGCTGAAGATATTTGTAAGAAATTTTCTTTAATTTATAGCCGAACGTGTGCTTTAACATAGAAAATTTTCAGAAAATTTTTATTTAAATAATTATCAAAGTTATTTAAAAAAAAAATAAAATTTAGTAAAATTTCAACTTGAAAATTTTTCAAATTTAAACTTAAATTTCTTTAAAAGTAAAAGAGATAATGAAGTTTTTTTTAATAGTTTTATTTATATAAGACACTACTTTCATTTAATATAACAAATCATTTCAGAAATAAGTTTCTTATTTTTTATTTCCTAAAAAAAGTAATAACAACTTAAATTTCTCCTTTTAGTTTACAACTTTGAGCAATTTTTTAAATTTTTTGGCTAGAGATAATTGAAAGGATTCTTTTTTTAATTAAAGCTTTAGTTAAAGTCTTTTTTAGAAAATTGTTTAAAAATTTTTAATTTGTTAAATAACAAAGTTATTAACAAAAATTAAAAACAAGTAAAATTTTTTAATAAAAAAATTTTCAAATTCGAACTTAAATATCTTTGGTATTAATAAAGTTATTACCATTAAATAAAAATATTTATATTTATAACAACAACTACTTTCATATAAGTTTAAAATCCTGTTTAATTTAGAATAAAAATTCAAAGTTTTAGAGTATTTTATATAAAAATAAACGCTAGTTTGTTTGCACTATTTTTACAACATGTAATAATCTCTTTGTTTTCTCTCTCGATCTCTCTTTTACAATTATAAATACAGAAAGCTTTTTAAGCATGCGCAAATATTATTTAATAGAAATCTAAATAACTGAAAACCAAAAGTATTTTTCTAGTAAATATACTAAGCAAACCTATTAATGATGATGAATTGTGGGCTTTTTTACTAACAAAACTATAGACCAAAATTTAAAAAAAAAGCTCTTGTCTACTCAAACTCCACAAGTATTTATAGCTTGGAATGTGGGTCATGGTTAAATGTACTTAATGTTTTTAATACTATACACTTTGTAGCAATTCAACTACTTATACTGGCATAAACTGGCTCAAACTAAATCAAACAAATCATTTTTTGTTAGAAATATTTAACAAAATAATATTTCAAAATTTTTTGTAAAACTTAAAACTTTTCTCTGAGTTGTTTTTCACATCAACAATTACTTTTTTGTAAGCCGAGATTTTTTAAATAATCTTTTTAAGTTGGGTGTGGTGGGTCTCATCTTATAAATTCTTTTTAAAAAAAAAATTAACACCTGTTTTAATTTGAAATTTAAACAATAAATTATTAAACTTGTAAAAAATGTTTGCCCCTCCTCCTTTTGAAATGAACACAATTAAAGGCTTAAAATATTTAAACAATCAAATTCATTGACTTTAGAAATATGTTTCGTTGTACTTAACAGATTTAAGAAAATGATTAACCAAAACAAAAAAAAAAAAAAAAACACCAAACTCATGACAAGTATTTTCAACACAAAAATATTGTCAAGAGATTAATAAAAAGCCTCCAACAGCTAAATAAATTTAGGAATTACATGACAACAATTTTTCAAACACAATGGGTCTAAAGTCTTGAGTATAGACCAGTATATAGTCCTAATTATAAAACATTCTAGAGTCTTGACTATAGAGTCTTGATCATAGAGCATTCTATAGTCTTGACAATATAGTAGTATATAGTCTTGCCTATAGAATAGTCTATAGTCTTGAGTATAGAGCAGTCTATAGTCCTGACTATAGAGCAGTCTATAATCTCGAGTATAGAGCAGTCTATAGTCTTGACTACAGAGCAGTTTATAATCTTGACTATAGAGCAGTCTATAATCTTGACTATAGAGCAGTCTATAGTCTTGACTATAGAGCAGTCCATAGTCTTGTCTAGGCTTGACTAAAAAGCAATCTATAGTCTTGTCTATAGAGCAGTCTATAGTCTTGGCTACAGAGCAGTATATATTCTTGACTACAGAGCAGTTTATAATCTTGACTATATAGAGTCTATATAGAGCAGTATATAGTCTTGAGTATAGAGAAGTCAATAATAGTCTTGACTATAGAGCAGTCTATAATCTTGATCACAGAGCAGTCCAAAGTCTTGGCTACAGAGCAGTCTATAGTCTTGACTATAAAGCAGTCAATAGTCTTGACTATTAAGCAGTCAATAGTCTTGACTATAGAGCAGTCTATAACTTTGACTATAGAGTAGTCTATAGTCTGGACTATAGAGTAGTCTATAATCTTGACTATAGAGCAGTCTATAGTCTTGACTATAGAGCAATCTATTGTCCTGACTATAAAGCAGCATAGTCTGCACTATAGAGCAGTCTATAGTCTTGACTATATAGCAGTCTTTAGACTTGATTAAAGACCAATCTATAGTCTTGACTGTAGAGCAGCCTATAGACTTGATTAAAGACCAATCAATAGTCTTGACTATAGAGCAGCATAGTCTGCACTATAGATCAGTCTATAGAATTGACTATAGAGCAGTCTATAGTCTTGACTATAGAGCAGTCTATAGTCTTGACTATAGAGCAGTCTATAGTCTGGACTATACAGCAGTCCATAGTCTGGACTATACAGCAGTCTATAGTATTGACTATACAGCAGTCTATAGTCTTGATAATAGATCAGTCTATTTTCTTGATAATAGATCAGTCTATTGTCTTGATAATAGATCAGTCTATTGTCTTGATAATAGATCAGTCTGTAGTCGTGACTATAGAGCAGTCTATGGTCTTGCCTATAGAGCAGTATAGAGTCTTGACTATAGTCTTGGCTATAAAGTAGTTTTAGTCTTAACTGTAGAGCTATTTATAGTCTATAGACTAGACTAGACTAGACTATAGAACTAGTCTATAGTCCTAGTCTATAGTCTAGTCCATAGTCTAGTCTATAGTCATAGCCTATAGTCTAGTCTAGTCTAGTCAAGTCTAGTCTAGCCAAGTCTAGTTACCTAGTCTACTCTAGTCTAGTTTAGTCTAGTCTAGTCCTATAGTCCTAGTCTAGTCTAGTCTATAGTCTAGTCTATAGTCTAGTCTATAGTCTAGTCTATAGTCTAGTCTATAGTCTAGTCTATAGTCTAGTCTATAGTCTAGTCTATAGTCTAGTCTATAGTCTAGTCTATAGTCTAGTCTATATCTAGTCATATTCTAGTCTATGTCTAGTTAGTCTAGTCTATAGTCTAGTCTATAGTCTAGTCTATAGTCTAGTCTATAGTCTAGTCTATAGTCTAGTCTATAGTCTAGTCTATAGTCTAGTCTATAGTCTAGTCTATAGTCTAGTCTATAGTCTAGTCTATAGTCTAGTCTATAGTCTAGTCTATAGTCTAGTCTATAGTCTAGTCTATAGTCTAGTCTATAGTCTAGTCTATAGTCTAGTCTATAGTCTAGTCTATAGTCTTCTATAGTCTAGTCTAGTCTTAGTCTATAGTCCTAGTCTATAGTCTAGTCTCTAGTCTAGTCTATAGTCTAGTCTATAGTCTAGTCTATAGTCTAGTCTATAGTCTAGTCTATAGTCTAGTCTATAGTCTAGTCTATAGTCTAGTCTAGTCTAGTCTATAGTCTAGTCTATAGTCTAGTCTATAATCTAGTCTATAGTCTAGTCCATAGTCTAGCCTAGTCTAGTCGAGTCTAGAGTCTAGTCTATAGTTTTGTCTATAGTCTAGTCTATAGTTAATTAATTTTCTTATTAAAAATCATTTAAAAATTATGAATATTTTTAAAAATTTAACAAAATTCTATATAATTTCATCAGATTTTTATGACTAATTCGTTAATAAACGTCATCTGCAATTAGTAATTTAATAACTTTCAGTTTTTTTAAAAACAAACTAATGCTATTTTCAACAAAATATTTCTCATAATTTATTAACGATAATTAAGTAATGTCAAATTTAAATTTTATTTTAAACAACAAACAATTTTATTCCCACACTTTAAAAAAAATTGATAAAAAATTCTCATCAACAAAAAATTGTTGTAATTCGTATGTAAATTAATGCAAAAAAAATTAAGAAAAATCTAGAAAATTTATTTAAGTCATTAAAACCATGTCTAGAGATCAATCTTTATCTTTAGCCTGTTGCTGTTGAAAAATAATTAAAATTTTATTTATTATTCATTCTATTATTCTATTGTAACTCACATGAGCCATTAAATTTATAGTCTATTATTCTATTAAGTATTATTTAATGTTTTTTGTATAGGAACCGAAAATTTATTTAAAGTAATTTCAGTTTAATTTCAAATCTTTAGTTAAAAAAAAAATAGACAATTACCTTAAAACTGATCAAGGTAACGGCGGGGGTTTCTAAGGGAAATAAATTTAGATTTGATTCATAACAGTCATCATCAATATGTCCCTCAATAATTTGTTTTACATTCGATTTTTGTTTTATTTGATTTAATGTTTAAATTAAATGCACTAATAATAAATAATGATTTCTGGTTTTATTTGTTAACAATATTATAGGAAATCAAATTAAATATTTTTTTATTTAATTACTAACATAAACATGATTTATAACGCTTTTGAAAATTTTGAGAAATATTTAAAAGCTAAAACTTTTTTAAAAACTAATTCAAGCTGGACTATAGTCGAGTATATAATCTGTAGCCTGGACTATAATCTATAGTCTGCACTATAATCTATAGTGTGGAATATAGTCTATAGTATGGACTATAGTCTACAGTCTGGAATAGTCTTTAGTCTGGATTATAGTCTATAGTCTTGACCATAGTCTATAGTCTGGACTATAGTCAATAGTCTGGACTATACTCTGAACTATAGTATATAATCTGGATTATAGTCTATAGTCTGGACTATAGTGTATAGTCTGTAGTCTGGATTATAGTCTATAGTCTGGACTATAGTCTATAGTCTGGACTAAAGTCTGTAGTCTGGACTATAGTCTATAGTCTGGACTATAGTCTGTATTCTGGACTATAGTCTGTAGTCTGGACTATATTCTGTAGTCTGGACTATAGTCTATAGTCTGGACTATAGTCTATAGTCTGGACTATAGTCTATAGTCTGGACTATAGTCTGGACTAAAGTCTGTAGTCTGGACTATAGTCTGTAGTCTGGACTATAGTCTATAGTCTGGACTTTAGTCTGTATTCTGGACTATAGTCTGTAGTCTGGACTATATTCTGTAGTCTGGACTATAGTCTATAGTCTAGTGTATAGTCAGGACTATAGTCTGGACTATAGTCTATAGTCTAGTGTATAGTCAGGGCTATAGTCTGGACTATAGTCTATAATCTGGACTATAGTCTATAATCTGAACTATAGTCTATAGTCTGGACTATAGTCCACACCATAGACTATAGTCTGGACTGCAGTCTATAATCTGGAATATAGAATATTATGTGGACTATATTGTGTAATATGCTCTGAACTATAGACTATTGCCTGGTATATAGTCTAATATCTGCACTATAGTCTTGATTATAATTTAGTCTAGGATTTAAACTATATTCTATAGTCTACACTGTTATCAAGCCTATAGTGTGGACCGTAGTCGGGACTACTATATAGGCTAAACTACGGACCAAAAATTAAATTGAATTTACAATATATTTTTATAGAAAATAGACCTTCCAAATTATTGTAATCTCTTCTAACAATATTTTTAATTTTGCAGGACGACGACATGGGTTTCGGTTCACGCATGGACTGCTGCGGGCAGTTTGTCAAATACAGTTTATTCGTTTCGAATTTTATTATATTTGTAAGACCATTTCATTTCAAAAAAATTGTATCAATTTAAATAAATTTCATTTCTTTAGGTGGGCGGTGCTACTGTTTTTTGCTTAAGTTTATGGACCTTGGTCGATCGTAGTTTTATGAATGAGTTATTGGGCACAAATCTATTTTCGGGAGCCGTCTATGTTCTACTCGTTACCTCGGTGGCCATATGTTTGTTATCGTTTTTGGGTTGTGTGGGAGCGGGCAAAGAGGTTAAGTGTCTACTGTTAACGGTGAGTTGGAAAATAACCTATAGTATGGACTATAACTTTAAATATTTCTTAAAATTTTTCTTAATTCCATTAGTACTTTATCATTGTGGCCCTGGTGTTTGTGACCATGTTAATCGGCGGTATTTTGGGCTATGTATTTCGTGAAAGGGTCCAGCAGACCATGCGACAGGTTTGATTAAAATTTTCAAATCTTGAAATCCATATTAATTATTTTCTTTCGAAATTTTCCTTCCCCAGGAAATGCGCTCCTCCATGGCTCTATATGGCAGCCGTCGTGACATTACCCAGGCCTGGGATCAAACTCAAGAACGTCTTCAGTGCTGTGGTGTTGACACCTGGCATGACTGGAATCGTTTTGGTCCCATACCCGAGTCATGCTGTCAGGAAATCTTTGGGGGTCAACGTAAAGAGTGTACTATATTCCCTACTATAACGAATCTATACAGCCAGGGATGTTTGTATGTTACCTCGAATTTTATTAGAGATCATGCGGCCATTATAGGAGGTACCTCAATAGCGGTGGCTATAATAATGGTAAGTTTGCGGGAGAAGTCAATACTGAGAGTATGGGAATACAATTTTTGTTTATTTTTTTCAGATCTTTGGCATGGTCTTCTCTTGTCTTCTATTTAACATGATTGAATAGTCAAGATTTAAGTATTTTTTGGTATTGCGCTCTCTATGTTAAATTTTTGAAAAAATATTTCATAATTTGTAAAAAATTTAGTTTACTTTTGTTAAAAAATCGGATGAAATCTTTTATCTGTTCAAAATACCTTATAAAATGTAAGATAGGTAATTCTATGCTTGTCTATAGTTCAGATTATAGTCTTGTTAATAGTCCAGAATATAGACTTGTCTACAGTCCAGATTATAGATTTGTCCATAGTCCCGATTATAGACTTGTCTATAGTCCAGTTTATGGATTTGTCTCTTCTCCAGATTATGGACTTGTCTATAGTCCAGACTATAGACTAGACTATAGACTAGACTATAGACTAGACTATAGACTAGACTATAGACTAGACTATAGACTAGACTATAGACGACTATAGACTAGACTATAGACTAGACTATAGACTAGACTATAGACTAGACTATAGACTAGACTATAGACTAGACTATAGACTAGACTATAGACTAGACTATAGACTAGACTATAGACTAGACTATAGACTACTATAGACTAGACTATAGACTAGACTATAGACTAGACTATAGACTAGACTATAGACTAGACTATAGACTAGACTATAGACTAGACTATAGACTAGACTATAGACTAGACTATAGACTAGACTATAGACTAGAATATAGACTAGACTATAGACTAGACTATAGACTAGACTATAGACTAGACTATAGACTAGACTATAGACTAGACTATAGACTAGACTATAGACTAGACTGTAGACTAGACTATAGACTAGACTATAGACTAGACTATAGACTAGACTATAGACTAGACTATAGACTAGACTAGACTAGACTAGACTAGACTATAGACTAGACTATAGACTAGACTATAGACTAGACTATAGACTAGACTATAGACTAGACTATAGACTAGACTATAGACTAGACTATAGACTAGACTATAGACTAGACTATAGACTAGACTATAGACTAGACTATAGACTAGACTATAGACTAGACTATAGACTAGACTATAGACTAGACTATAGACTAGACTATAGACTAGACTATAGACTAGACTATAGACTAGACTATAGACTAGACTATAGACTAGACTATAGACTAGACTATAGACTAGATTATAGACTAGACTATAGACTAGACTATAGACTAGACTATAGACTAGACTATAGACTAGACTATAGACTAGACTATAGACTTGACTATAGACTAGACTAAAGACTAGACTATAGACTAGACTATAGACTAGACTATAGACTAGACTATAGACTAGACTATAGACTAGACTATAGACTAGACTATAGACTAGACTATAGACTAGACTATAGACTATGACTATAGACTAGACCTATAGACTAGACTATAGACTAGACTATAGACTAGACTATAGACTAGACTAGACTAGACTATAGACTTGACTATAGACTAGAATATAGACTAGACTATAGACTAGACTATAGACTAGACTATAAACTAGACTATAGACTAGACTATAGACTAGACTATAAACTAGACTATAAGCTAGACTTCTCTGCTTTTGAAGAACTACTTACTTCACCCCTTATCTGTCTTGTTACTTGTCACACATTATGTTAAATTTGTTTTAATTTTGAAAAAATATTTAAAAAGAGCCTATAAATTCACAAAATTCACTGTAAATTCTTGCAAAAATAAACGGAATTTTTTAAAAACAAAATTATATTAAAGTATTATACATAATTTGTTCATATATATATTAATTAAGTTGTCATTTGTTCTTAAAATATTATTTTTTTCACTTACACATATATACATATTTATAGTAGATATACTTTATTTGTTATATCGTCTAAGTAAAATTTTTGTTAAAACTTTTTTTTGCATGTCTTGTTTGCTATTCAAAAAATTCATTTTCATTTTTTATAAAATTTAAAATAAAATAAAAAAAAAATTAATTGTTTTTAGTATTAAGTTTTAAGTTAAGAAATTCAACATAAAAAATAGTTTTTAATATTAATTGTTATTTTGAAAATAAAAAAAAAAACAAATTTCTATAAAGAAAAATTTATTAAAACCAATTTTATTTTAAAAAATTTTAAATAAAAAATATCACATTTTTTGGAAAAAGTAAATACAAAAATTTTTAGAAAATTAAACTTAATATAAAAGTTAAAAGTAAAATATTACAGGCAATTGCTGGAATCTTCCCCGCTTTTGAGGTGTCGGGAGTGCCATACCACCACTGCCAATTGCCCTGGAATCTTAAGGGATTACATCTGGCATCCGGGAAAGGTATTCTAGCGGTAGGTGTTAAGCCTAAGCGATACTCCTTGACTTCCTGAGCCAAAATTTCCACTTGCAAAGGATATAAATTGGCCAGATTATAACGTTCACAGGGATCTTTTTCAATATCGAAATAACAAGGGGCCTTGAGCGGTTGACATTTGTATATGTCCTTAGTATAATCCTCACTATTTAAGGGACATGTATGGGTGGATTGTTGTCTTAAATTTTGGATTAACTCTTTGCTTACACTTTGATCCCCTAGTGTTTGTTGAACTAAAGAATTTAATATATTTTCTTCATAATTTTTACTTAAAGGATCCATTTCATCTTGGTTAATATCCCCCAGCCAGGTGTCATATTTCCCTTCGAAGGAAGAACCATTAACATATTTTAGATTTCCTTTCATATAAGAACTGTAGCCGAAAATGTCATCATAAACATGCAAAAGTCTTCGAGGTTGGGATTCTTGAGCCTCACTTAAGGCGGGCCAAAGATTAATGCCATCTAAATTGAGATCTTCCGGTAGGGAAATATTGGCCGCAGCAGCCAAGGTGGGTAACCAATCAATGGCGTGTGATACTTGATTACTAACATAATTCTTTTGCTTTAGAAGCGGACTCCAGATTAGGGCCGCCGAACGTATGCCTCCCTCCCAGGGGGACTCTTTTTGCTAAAGGGAAAAGAAAACAACACTTTGGAAAAAAGTTTTATTAATGAAAATTGTTTAGACTTACCCCCCTAAAAGGATAATTTGAACCCATGTTACCATGAATACCCACCGTGGGGGCTCCATTATCGGAATATAATAGTATTATAGTATTATCTAAAATGCCCTTATCGGCCAAGGCCTTGACGGTCAAACCTACACTTTGATCCAAACGTGATAACATGGCTGGAACGCGGAAAAACATTATATAAACCCCTATATATTGTTAAATAAAACCCTTACCCGCATAGGCCCTTCTCTGGGGATCGGAGATGTAATCGAACTTCTCCAGTTCTTCCTCAGGAGCCTCCATGGGATTATCTTCATTTCCCGTATGAACCGCTAAATGGCTCATTAGTAAAAATAGAGGCTTTTCAACATTATGATTCCTTATAACATGTACCGCTTCTCGGGTAAACAAATCGGTGGCATAGATGCCCGACAATTCAGGGCAAGGTTCTAAATCTCGACGCATATCCAAACCGGAATAATTGCGGTTCTATAAACCAGCAAAATTAGACTAATAAAACTTGATTTCAGTTCCTTTACTTACCAACATCTTCAACGTATGATCATAGTAACCTATATAGCCCGAATAATAACCCAAATGATGATCAAAACCCCGATACAGAGGAGTCATTTCTTTGCGATAGAAACCCAAATGCCATTTACCCACTAAATAAGTAGAGTAGCCAGAATCACGGAATAACTCAGGCATTAAACGTTGATTCAAAGGAAGACCCCAGGGTTCATCGTTGACAATAACAAAATGATGCATACCTTTACAAAACAAAATGGGTCAATATGGACCTTAAAGTGAAATCGAAATCTGTCGTAATTTGTTTATATTACCTGTATGTATGGGATATTTCCCAGTTAATAAAGTCGACCTAGAGGGTGTACACAAATTGGGCACATAGTTTCTATTCAATATAATGCCATTATAGGCCAAGGCATCGATGTTGGGCGTTACCACCTGATTAGAGCCATGAAAGCTGACATCATTGAAGCCCTTTGGGCGTGGAAATTTAAATAAGAATATAGGTTTCAATAAGAGACATATTGCATTTTAAAGTTTTTGAATGAATTTGTTATAATTTAAAAAAAAATTCATGGTTACTTTTTCAAGTAACCGATTACTTCTATTAGGTAAACGCTCAAATAAACATACAATTTAGCTTAAACAGATTCTTTACCCAATTTTATTTTTTTAAGATTTTTGATGGTTACTTAAAAAAATAAGCGATTACTTTAAACGAGTAACCACTTCTTTCTTATAAATAACCATTTAAAGAAACATTAAATTGTATAAAAACACAAATTTAGATTCAAAACATACATTTTCCAAGATTTTTGATGGTTACTTTAAAAAGTAACCGTTTACTTTTAACGAATAATCGCTTATTTTCAATAAGTAACTACACAAATTAAACTATAATTCAAGCCTAAAGATAATTTTTAACAAAAAACAAGTAATATTACTAAAATTTTGATGGTTACTTTTAAAAATAACCGATTACTTTTTTTGATAACCATTTAATTTACACAAGTTTATTGAAAATTTGTACTATTTTTAAGGTTATTTACAAAAATAACAAAATAGACTAAAATATCAAATATTTTTTTAAAAAAGTAACCGATTAATTTTTCTAAGTAACCGCTTTCTACACAGAATTTCTTAAAAAACTAATAAAAATATTAATTTTATTTATAAAACTAGGTATATCATTCAAATATAAAAGAGTTTTTAAAAAGTAACCGATTACTTTTCTTAAGTAATCGATTGTTTTTAGAAACTTTTGGAAAATTACTTTTTGTAAGTAACCGGGTTTTTGCTTAATTCTTTATGAAACATTACTTTTTTATTTTATTTACTTTTATTTATTAACAATTTGGAAAATAAAGCATTTTTGAAAAAAGTAACCGATTACTTTTTGTAAGTAATCGGTTTTTGGTGCACAAATTTATATAAAAATCAATATAGTTTTTAATTTTATTGTTAAAAAAATATATTTTTATAAAAAATTGTGATTTTAGAAAAAAGTATTCGGTTACTTTATATAAGTAACCGGTTTTTATTAAAAAAAATTTATAAAAATCCTTATAGTTTTTTATGCTGTTAACAAAAATGTGTATTTCTTTTAAGTATTTAAGATTTTTGAAAAAAAGTAATCGGTTACTTTTTATAAAAAATCCGTAGTTTTTTATTTTATTTAGAAAACAGGTATATTTCTTCAAAATAATTTCGAGTTTAAAAAAGGAATCGGTTACTTTTTGTAAGTAACCGGTTTTTTTTTGCATAAAAATTTTATATAAATCGACCTAGAATTCTATTTTATTAGCAAAAATATATATTATTTTGAAAATAAGCCTTTTCTGAAAAAAGTAATCGGTTACTTTTATAAGTAAC